CTCCTGGAGGAGCTGCTGGACACAGGGTGAAGCTCTTGGCCATGGTTGGAGCTCCTGGAGGAGCTGCTGACCATCCACCGAGCACGGGAAGCCCCTGCAGGCCCTGGTGGCTGTGGATCCATGCCAGGGGCTGATTCCTGGTGGGAATCCTGGTGTCCCTGCAGTGTGAGATGGCCTTCCCCCGCGTGAAGCCTGCGGCGGACGAGACGGCGTTCAGCGAGGCACTGCTCAAGAGGAACCAGGACCTCGCGCCCACTGCGGCTGAGCAGGTACCCACAGCCCCTCGGGGCACCAGGATCCTTTGGAGGAGAATATGGATCTTGGTGGTCCATAAATTGAGGTTGTTCCTAGTCTTCTTGGGTAATTCCTGTTCTTTCCCAGGCTTCCATCCTGTCCCTGGTGACCAAGATCAACAACGTCATCGACAACTTGATCGTGGCACCAGGAACGTTCGAAGTGGTGAGTCCAGAGGGTGGGGGAAGAGCTGTGGGGGAGGTTCTGGATGGGGTGAAAAGGGGTGGGATTGGGAAAACAGTCCCTGGGGAGGTGCTGGATGATCCCAAAGGTGGAGGATTGGGAAAACAGCTCCGTGGGGAGATGCTGGATGATCCCAAAGGTGGTGGCTTGGGAAAACAGCTCCGTGGGGAGATGCTGGATGATCCCAAAGGTGGTGGATTGGAAAAAGAGCTCCGTGGGGAGATGCTTTGGCACGATGGCCGTGGTGGTCCTGCTGCCCTGGCCCGGGATGGGTTGGGGGTGACTGCTGACCCCCCAAGACGCAGCAGATGGGTAGAATTCCCAGGATTTGTGCTGCTCCTTCCACAGCAAATCGAGGAGGTTCGGCAGGTTGGGTCCTATAAGAAGGGGACGATGACGACGGGACACAACGTGGCAGACCTGGTGGTGATCCTGAAGATCCTGCCCACCCGTGAGTGTCCCTGAGGTGGGATCAGAGCAATCCCTGCTCCTGCTCCAACCCTTCTCCTCATCCTTTCCCTCCTCATTCCCAGTGGAAGCCGTGGCAGCCCTGGGGAACAAGGTGGTGGAGAGTCTGCGGGCACAGGACCCCAGCGAAGGTGGGACACGCTCCGGAGGACACTGGGCTGTGCAGCTCTGTGGCCTTGCCTGCATTCCCACTGAGCTTCCCAGCCTCTCCATGCAGAATTCCTGGTTTTCCCTCATAGTGCTGACCATGCTGACCAACGAGACTGGCTTTGAGATCAGCTCTGCCGACGCCACAGTGAAGATCCTCATCACCACAGTCCCTCCCAACCTACGCAAATTGGACCCAGAGCTGCACCGTGAGGATTTGGCTGTGCTTCCCAACCTGCTCCAGAGCTCCTGGAGCCCTCAGCCCACCTTTTCCAGTGGGAAAACTGGGAATTTCTTCTTGCAGTGGACATCAAGGTGCTGCAGAGCGCTCTGGCCGCCATCCGGCACGCACGCTGGTTCGAGGAGAACGCCTCGCAGTCCACGTGAGTCGGGACCCAGGGGTCATGGATCCAAGGCTGGATGGATCCAATCCTCATTCCAGAGGACATGGAGAGCAGTGTCTTACCCTCCTGCTGCTTCTGCCCCAGGGTGAAGGTCCTGATCCGACTGCTGAAGGACCTGCGGATTCGCTTCCCCGGCTTCGAGCCGCTCACCCCGTGGATCCTGGACCTGCTGGTGGGGGATAACTGCTGCTCCCAATCCTGGCAGGAGTTGGGATCCTTGTCCTGGCTCGGGATCCTTCCCTTCCAGCCCTCACTCCTCCTCT